CTGAGCTTTTGATTTGATTTGTTTATCAGTACATTTTTGTTACCTTCTATTTGTGTTCTAAATTGTGAAATTTAGGATGATTTCATTCCTCACCTGTACAGATGGGCAGAAGAAGGGGATATTTGCATGAGGACATATGCTACAGCAATTCTTGCGGTTGCTTTGGAGGTTTCAGATATTGCCGCCAGCTTCAGGGAACGAAGCGTCGCTTTGGTGCCTCTGATGCTCACGAGGCTGGAAGTGTTGCAGCAGCACGTCGCTGAAGTCCACGATGTACCAATGAATTGTGAGTCCACAAAAGAGGACAAAGCTACAGAAACAGGACCAAACTTTTCCTCTGTGAAAAGCGAAACTTTCACCCAAGACGAAGTTCGGCCGAAGTTGGGTGACGTTCTGCGGCAGGAAGAAAGTGCCGGGCCCTCGTCAGCGGCTTCCATCCCTGTTCAGACACCGATTGACACGGTTCGATGCGAAGAGTCGCATCTTGCTCAAAAATGTTGCCAGTCAATTAGAATAAAGCGCAGAGCGAGCGATGCAGGCTCAGTGCCCCCTTTAAAGGCGAAACGGTCTAAACTGTCAAAATTGGCCGCTGGCCAAGGTAACTTGAGTAACAGTAGCTGGGCTGAACTGGAACCGTATGTCATCGGTAAGCATTGTATGTATCCACTTACCTCAATTATGCAGCAGAGGATTATTCTGCAGTATCTCACTGCCACTGGCGAATATCAGGAGGTAAAGATTTTTTTAGTAATATCATGTTACATAATGCTACTGCATCGCGCTGCACTCAGGAATCTGATCGGCATTCGTATTTTGACAAGTTGTGGCGCTTTGGTATCCAATTTAGGATGATCTTATATCATTCTTGTCCTAAAATACATTAGGAAGGAACCTAATCCCTTAGGAGAAGCGTAGAAACTTATTTCGTAGACCATGAACACGTTTCGAACGTGAATAACACGGCGGTGGCTATGCGACATCGATATTGTTAGCGTCAGACCAACTAAATTTTTAATAAAGATCTTGTCAGCTTCCTCGTAACTGCATTTTGCTGGGGGGGGGGGCTTGTAGTCATTGAAGTATGTTGTGATTCGGCCATATATTTTTCTCTGCTCCCATTTCGTCCAGTTTTCCAGAATGTCTTTTGTTTTATCTTTCGCATTTAGCCGGAGTTTTAAGTTTCGAAATACACAGATATACGTAGATACTAGTACACAGAGACGAATGTCAAAGGTATTCGATTTGGCTCTCGGTCAGTGCGGCACTTAAAAACTCTTGGTCACTATTGGTTCTATATAAACTATTGGCTTTAGAACGTTTTTTGATTTTTCTTCATCATATTTTCAAAGCACCGTTAAAAGGTCTCATATTTGCTGTTTAGCTCTTGCCGTGTATTTTCGAAAGGAAAGTTTCGCAGCTGCTCTATAATTACATCGACTTTACGAAAAATAACGATGTTCGACTCGTGTTTGATGCATTGAGGGTAAACCCAATTGTTATTTATTGAGTTTTTTCGTCTTTCCTGTTTAGTATTTGGCAACTCTGCTGTGTCACAAGAAATTTGCCATCGAGTTCGTAAATTCAAACGGAATTGAGCGTCTTTTGAACGTCTACGAACCGTCGATGGCGTCCGCTGCCGTTTCCCTTTGTCTTTATTACCTCTCATACAACGAGGATGTCATGGAGAAGATATGCAACCTTCCGGGTGCCGTACTGGATGACTTGGTGAAGTACGAAGAAAATTCCGCTGACCATTTAAAAAGCCTGTTGTATCTCATTTTTTCATTTCAGTTACGCGTTATGGCTGCTTGAGCATTCTTACGAATCCGGCCGTTGCCATGTGACCATCTTCTTCACCTTCACGTTCATGTTTCGGCCGATTCTTGAACGCTTTGATGCTAGAGATGGCCTTCGGAAGTTGTACAATCATGTAAGTGCATTTTACACTGATAACTGCGCTTTATACGAAAGTATATGTAAATCTCTTAATCTTTTTGTAAATCTCTTCACAAATCTCGTTATCCAAAAATTAATGTTTCTGGAGCTCACCACCTTTGGACAGTGAGCAGAGCATTAAAAATTAAGTGCTGATGAGTTATTTGCTGTGCTGTCATGTTACAGGCCATCCGCAAATCTAGTGTTTCATTCGTACGTTGCTAATCATACTCTGAAACAGTTTGAAACGTGGTACTGCTCGATCGTGTGATTATCCATATCTTTTGCGTTTTGTATTAATGTGTCTTGTTTTATGCGGTTTATTGACGTTTCTTTTTCTGAACGAATACAATTTGCAAAGGGCTGATGGTTTTGGCGTCGAAGCGACGTAAGGCATTATCTTCTGTAAAGTAGAAAATGCGTCAGAGCACGGTTTGTCTACTACATTGTTATCTGTTAATTTTGTCTCATAATTTTATACCAGAATTTATAGCTGGGTTCTTCAGGGTTAGAGTCATTCTGGAAGTGTTTCTGTGAAAAACAAATTGACTTGTTAATAGGAGTTTATCAGGATGGTAATATATCTATATTACACCGCTTTAAGTAAACCATACCTCATATTTTCATCATGGCTGTTTACGTATAAACGATAAATGATGGCAGCATCAGTTTCTCATAGTCTTTGTCTTACTGTCTTATACATTTCTGTTGTCTGGACTTCTGTAGCAGGTACACTTTTGCTTTAATAAACTCGCTGTTGATTTCATTCATGGCTAGTATTCCGTGATTCTTTGTATGATGAACGTTTGGTTTTCAGATTTCAACATTGAGCATTTTGCAAGATGAGTCCCGGGCCAGAATTTTGTCTGACGACCAAATCTTTGCCAGCAGACAGGCAGTTCGTCAAGTGTGCAATGCTCTTAAAAAGTGGGTGATGTTTCTTTAAGTCACTTATTTAAATATTTTGATTTTCTCTTACTGAACTTCCCAAAGCTTTACTGTACTCTGGTTGGGTAAGGTTAATGTTTTACAGCATATCGAGCCTCTTTCAAACGAAAGGTAAGAATGAAGATTAAGCCACTTGCAACAGTGCTCGCGTGGAAGAATAATTTATTTGTGTTTCCAGTGGTATGTGGAATATTTAATTCGATTCGCATTTTCTGATTCAGTTCTCCTCCGCATTCCTTGTATCTTTCTTCTGTTCTTTTGTTAACAGTAAACCTTCGAAGTACCCATTTGGGTTGGATGCGGAAGCATATAACGAATACCTTTAGCTTCGTCCAGACAGGAGTCCTCAGAATAGTGATTTGAACGGGAGGTCACCTTTCTGACAGTTTGTCGTTCGCATCGAAACCGAAATACAGCAGGTACTAGGTCAGCATACAACACGGATAACAATGTAGAGGCAGATATTTATTCAAACATGAATCGTTTCTTCTGTGACGCAGTATCTTTGTATCATATACTGTTGTATGGCGAAAGTGTTGGAAAGCAGTGGATGCAGTGGACATCCGAAATCATTGATTTTCTAATGTCTTAACGAACGGCGTCACGAGGACAATTGCATCTTCAGTCAAAATGTCTATTTCAATCTGTGGATTGGTCTGTTTTGAATAACATACTTAAGTATAGAAAAAGAGGAAATTAATGTGTTACTCCGTTGTTACTATACAATAACTCACACAAAAAATCCCATAAATCTTTGTAGTTCTGTGCCTTTTAAAAGATAGCATCTGGAATTTACGATTATTACGTCGTTACATTATTTTGTCATGTTATTACGCTCATTCTTGTTACTGTGTAATTTGTCGTCCTTTGTGATCCTGTATTGCTTATCGTTTAAGGTATTTTGAGGCGCAGCTGTCAATAAAGTTCGAACAGCTGAAGAAGAAACATGCAAGTGACAGTAAAGAGGGTTCTTCCGCAGATGAACATGCGGCTGCGAATGCACATTCAAGTTATAAGGTAACAATATATTTTTTATACATTTGTTGTTGCAGGCTAAATATTCTTGAAATGGCTCTGACTAATTAGCATGGCCGTCATACTGATCAGCATTATGATCTGTACTTCACAGATTTTCTTCAGGCTTATCATTCAGAATATTTCCCACTTGCTAGTCTTGCTTTTCGTTTGAATTCGTGGAGTCGAGAAGTATAACTGAAAAATACGAACTGTGACGAGCAGCAAGACTGTTATGAATAGGGAACATTACAAATGATTTTTAGAAAACGGCGACATGACATGCTGTGATTTGCGGACGAGTCATTCTAGAGATTTCTGTAAAACCTTCTGACGAGGACTGCTTCACACAATATTTCCTTCCCCAAGGAATGAAATTGCAAGCAGGTTTTGAAGCACCGAATATGCTGAACAGTGTTTTACAGTACCTGAAGTGAGATGTTCATGGCATAAGCAACTGACTGTAAGCAAGAATCTGAAGCTGGTTTTACTAATGACTAAAACTCGCAAGTAGTTATGATTTCTAGTTTCTGGGCTGATGGGATAAGCGTCTTATACTAGTAACATTGCTTACAGTTGAATAGATATTATGGATTATCAGAATCAAAAGGAGCAGAAGCGGGTGAAAGCTTAATTTAAATCTGTAGCGCGAACACGCTGTCAGGAGTCTTATTCAAGGCGTAACAAACCTAACTACAAATGTCTGCTTTCCGAGGTGTAGCAGAGTAAAATGCACCGTTCCACGTAAGTAATGATCCCATCACAAAATACTCGTGAACATGACGTAACAAAGCGATGTGCCTCAGAGACAGATAGTTTCAGAGATGCCGCAGTCAGCTGACTCTCAAAATAAAGAATAAGTATTCCTTTTTTTAAACAGATTTTAAGTTCTGCATGTTGAACGCCGCTGCATTACTTATTCAGCTTTAGGTTTGTATAATTTGCTAACTCCTAACAGTTGCTGCCTTGATATTCTAAGATTTCGATTTATAATAAAATAACCTATCCTATGACGGTTCAGCCTCTCAAAATGGAACCATCGACGATCGAGAACTGCGTTACGACTATGTTAGAAATTATGCCCATGCGGACAACGTGGAAAGCGGTAGATGTGCTGCAGCGACTAAACGGCATCACGTTGCTCCTTCGAATAATCTGCAACGCTTCAGATTGGTACTACACCGGAAAGTGAGTTATCATTTTCGTTATTATCTTTCAAGTCAGCGGTCGCCATTTCAGTCAGTCACTTTCGATGCCCGGTTTTCTTTCCGGTCGCGAGACAGATACTTCAGACAAGCCATTTAGTGTTCCCGATCCTCTGCCAATGACTGACTTTCAGCAGAAAAAAAACCATGTCTGAAGCAATCCTTCGACACACCTGTCCAGGATATTCTTAACCGTCCTGAAGTCTTCTGCCCCTCGCTTGGTCGAGTAGTAGCTCTTTCCCCTTCATTTCTGAATGCGCTCGCAACAGCTGCCTAAACTATCGCAGCTCTTACTACTCAATCTTAGCACACAGTGTCTGTGCGCCAAGG